CTGCACGGCTTTTCTCTGTGTCAAAAGTGGAGCACCTTTTAACACCAGACTAATGACTTATTGAATAAGTCATTATTTCCCCGTATTATTTTGTCAGAGCTGGGAATATTAAAATCGACTGCCCTACTTTATCATCATGCCTTTTTGTGCAAATGAGACCAAAAGAGTGCAACTCTTAGATGAAAACTGCTCCAAATCTCATCCTTTCTGAAGTCTGGCTCCATACTGAGTGTGTGAGATGGGTGGGGTTTGGGTAGGTGTCAAGGCCGACAGTAATGGATGAGCTCCTGTCCTACGTGTGCCGTTTTCTGTGCCTTTATATGTGAAAGTGAGGTGCATATGTTTGTCTGTGTGGCGCTGACACTGATGGGAAGCCACTTTCTATTACCACAGTGAGTGAAAGGGCGAGAGAAACAATACGAGACAGGAGTGCTTTTGTATATCAGATGCCAACTTGAATTAGGTATAGCTGATGATTACCAGCAACAATTGAAAGCATTTCACTCAGAAAATGTATTCATGAAAGAGAAAAAACATCAGCTACGGTAAACAAGCATCATTTTTTGGAGAATACAATGAAACGAGGTTCAATAGAAAGAAAAAAAAGGCTCTGAGGGGTAAAAGCAGCAGATAGATGGCAAAATGGGTTTGTAGGAAAGATGAGGAATGTTTCTTTTTTCAGCCAGTATGAATGTGCGTAAGATGCCTGCATTGCTAAGAGTGTTTTTCATTCAGGTTGTTAAATTATTACACAGTGACCAACTCTAAAAGCTTTGGACTATTTTTGTTGACTGTACCAACTCAGTTGGGGTACATCTCCAGTATCTAAAATTAGCCACATCTTGTTACGTAGATAAAGCACGTCTGAACGCAACTAGATGATTAATAATGAATCAAGTTTCACGTGTACAGTCAGTGCTTTTGTAGAAGTCTGGTCTAAAAACTCAAAAGAGGAAATCTGGTATTTGTTCAAACTGATGATGTTCTTATACTTTCCATTCAACTGTGAGGGCACCATGAATCTCTCTACAAATGTCATGGCAATCCATCCAATAGTAGTTGAGGTATTTCACTTTGGACCAAAGTGCATTTTGTTAAAACTTTCAGACACAAACCATCTTCTCCTGTTTGCTACAGCTTTTCCAACATACCTACAAGCTAAACTGAAAGTGAGTCACACCTTGGCAATAACATCAACAAGCCAGCTTTATGCATGACTACAGGTAAGACAAGCTGACCAGGAAGTTGCTGCAATAGGATTTGGTTGGATCATAAAGTGATTAAGAATGCAGGAGCGGTGAGTAAATTGGAAACATGACCAATCGTCATAAAGGCTTAAGTGTCATAATCATAATCATAATATATCATAATCCTAATGATAATAAAGTCGTCATACAGCACTTTTCAAAACAAAGTAACAAGGTGCTCAAATGGTTAAAATCACAGCAAAAAAAGAACTGCAATGACATAAAATCAGACAATTACAACATTACAAAAAAAGAAATACAATTAATATACTTTTCTTTTTTTATATATATAAGATACGTTCAGCTAAGTGATTAATAAGAAGTCCCTGATCCTGAAAGCCTAAAAATAATAAGAGAACAACAGCCACTAGACCTACCAGCTTGCAGGCTTTACTATAGATATTATAAATTCAGATTAACTTAAAGTCACAAATGATTATCATACAACAATAAAATACAGTTAGCCTCAAGCTTAGTAGAGTTAGTAGGATACATATATATTAATACAGCAGTGGTTACATTTAGACTGTTTCAATATGATTATTAAATGCAGCCTGGTCTGGAGGTAGTGTTTTATCCAAACACTGTGTGAGAGGTGGTTGAGGCTAAATGATAGCCCTTGCAAAACGGACAAAGTAAAGCTTAAAAGGCAGAACAAGTATTTCTTTAATGTTAGACATTAAAAAGAAACTTGCTTTTTCTCTCAAATTGATCCCCAAGCGTACGCTCGCAACACCCACACCTGCACCCACAGACGGTCGGCATTGAACGATCACATTAAAAGGACAAGAAGGAGGCCGTCTCCCTGGTGATGGTGGAGCCGGCTCGGTTGCTTATATTTGATGACCTTCGTTCTGCTGTTTCCACTCTTCAATATTCAAGCTACGGAGAGCCTTTGCTCCATGAAATATGGATGCTGTGTGTAAGGAAGGGAGACCGACCTTTCACTGCCACATGAGAATGGATAGAAAACTAAATTTCTTTCACTTTCTTTTACTTTCTCATCTGCCTTCTGAATTCAACTCAATGCAGGAAACTTAGAGGAAAGTGTGTCAGAGGAATGTGTAGCACATCTAAGCTGGGAAGAGATAGAGGGAGGTGTGTGTGTGTGTGTGTGTGTGTGTGTGTGTGTGTGTGTGTGTGTGTGTGTGTGTGTGTGTGTGTGTGTGTGTGTGTGTGTGTGTGTGTGTGTGTGTGTGTGTGTGTGTGTGTGTGTGTGTGTGTGTGTGTGTGTGTGTGTGTGTGTGTGTGTGTGTGTGTGTGTGTGTGTGTGTGTGTGTGTGTGTGTGTGTGTGTGTGTGTGTGGAGAACAGGGGGAGATTGGTTTCACCTGCACCACAGTGTTTAGATAAACTCCAGCGGCAGGGAGCTATAGACTCAGCAGAAATGAAACAGGATGCAGGTTCAACTCAGCACTTCAAAGACAACTTGGAAGTTGAAGAAACTCCAAATATTTGAATCCCTGTAGCAACACAGACAGTTTCATTTGCTTGAAAGTTTCACATTGGCATTTCCCATCAGTAGTTACATCCTGCTTCGGTACGCTATTTATCAGAGTCAGGAGAAGAGAAGGAGACAGGAGTCTGTTCGTGTGGAAAGGAAATGGGAGTGATATGACAGCTTCAAAGGTCACAGGGAACTACTCTACAGTTTCTTGTTCTTCAACCATCACTTAAGAGACTATACGCTCCACTACCTGATTGTTCAGTGAGGGTGAGCATACAACAACTAGAGAACATTTTCATCATCATCATCATCATCATCAGGCCAAACCCACCCTTCCAACTCTGCCTTCATTTTGATCTCAACCACACACCGGTACATTTTGTGGGAGCATTTTGCACCCTTTTTACACTTTTGACGGAAAATTGCTCAAGTTCGCTTCTGTGGCAGTCCCAACTACAGGATCACAAACAAGTATATAACCCTAACCCTACTTTCAATTCTTGTTGCTGTATATATTTAAGGTCTATATACACAATGGCGTACATCCCCTTTGTTGTTTAGCAAGTTTACTGTACTGTACATGAAAGGAAGACTTGAGTCATTGCTATTCTGACGCAGAGTAACCCATATGTGCTTTTTCTGTATATTCTGCCCAGACACATATTCAACTGGTCTCAGAGTGACTCATGAGGAAACGTCATTTTGTGTCTGGAGCACCTGTGGCTGAGAGTCTCAGGGTTTAAAGAGCAGCGTGAGGTAGGAAGAGCCGAGAGGGAAACCACATCTTAAAACGAGGATAACAACTGTTTTTGTACAAAGCCAGAATCACACGCACAGATTTACAAAAGCAGCTTTTGTCATAGGGAAGAAAAACCATAGCATAAAACAAGGTATTTTGTGTGTATGGTACACAAATGCGTGCAGTGCATGGTAGTATTATTGTGAGACATGTTATTTACTCAGATTATGGGCTTCCTGTGTAAAGACCAGAGCACAGTCCTTCTGTTTACTAAAATGGACTGCAGGAAATCAATCATCTAGGTAGGCATTAAATGTTTTTGTGGGTTATTACATTTTGATCGTGTTAGAAATTACGTCCTGTCAGAACTTGTTGCTCAAGCTGCTGGTGCCCTTTTGAAATACATTTAAAATAAATGGTGGTTTGATAGTGCTTCTGGTACATGTACAAATGTATCAACTGCTTCTCATAACCCTGCATGCTTCTGTTTCAGCGACGTGCAGTCAGTGGAGGCAGAGCCTCACCTGTCATACTCCAATGTAACGGAAAAACAATTAAAGAAAAACTAAATAATAATAATAATAAAATGTCTCCACTGATCTTGTGTAAATGTGATTTCTGTATGATTCCAATCGCATTTTATAGTCAAAATCAGCAAATTTGCCGAGCTCCGCTACGGGAGCGATGAGAAGTGAGGCAGGGACGAGCACTGCCTCACGTAAGCCCACAGTAACTTGTTGGAGCGCGGGCACTAATTTACTGTGGGGTGAGGTGAGGCACAGATGAGCTCTGCCTCACTTCAGAATGTGTCACCCCACAGAAACTGGCTGGAAAGCGGGCCCTAAGCGCATGCCTGTTCCCATCTCACTGTAGGTCACCAATGTAATGTTTGTAGATCCCTTTATTACATTTATCCTCGCCATCCATAGTCTCTAAATAACTTATTTCACGTATGATATTTAGGCTCGCTGGTCTCATCGTACAACGGCAATGAAAAAAGCACCAGGAGAGGCAGCCATAACCTCTGCCGCACTGAAGGGGGCGCACGTGAGCCCACAGGTGCTTGTTGCTACTGTTATTCTACCGCAAACAACAAACTAGACTTTTGAAACTACAGGAAGATAAGGAGGACTTTTACAAAACAGTAATAGAGATTGTTGTCCAGAAGGATAGCATGGACTTATATTCATCTTCAAGTCAAGGTAAGACCACAACTGTAATGAAAATGGGATCTTACTTAGAAAGAACAATCCAATATTTAGATTTTGGGTATCCTTTTGTTGATCGGTCTGTTTAAAATTAATCATAGCATCAGACTAAAAAAGCTTTTGAAAATAACAGAATATTTCGATTAAGGTCAAAATAGGCTATAATATTTGTAAATCTGACTGAAAGAGTCAGTGCCTCACCAGCCATGAACCTCACCGCACGTCACTGTTCTGTTTCCTGCGTCACTCCACTTAATGGGAAATCACAGTTTCCCCAGAACAGGTTTGGGCAGTTCTCTTGTTTACCTTTTCTCTGGCTCCACCCCTCCCCTCTGCCACTTCCTGATCACCTTGGCCTAGAGGTGAGTAAGGTCTGAGCTCACACAGGGACAGTCTTCCCACTTTGGGTTGTAGAATTCCTTTAAGACGGGCATCCGGATATCATTTCTTCAGCTGAAGACCTGCAGCCAATCCTCTGACTGGGACAAAGTCCTTTTTACTGTGTCATTTTACACTCCTTTGCTCCCCCCACCTTCACTCTGAATGGTTTAATGTTACACCCTCTGTGAGGCTTTACCTGCCCAGGTGAACTGCTCTGCTAAAAGTGAACGTCGCTCATGAAGCCATGTAAGTATACTTTCCCCTCTACAAATAGTTTTTTTTATCATAACTGTGGTTGTAACTTGTGTTAAATCCTCCACAGTAGAAACGTTACAAACCAGTAGTTACAAAACAATGTTCCAGGGCTTTTTGCTGGTCACTGCCTTTTGCATGGAATTCATTTGCATTGAATCCCTGTGTGAGTGCTCACTTCACATGTGTGTGATAGTTGCCTGTGTAGCTTGTTTTCTGTTACCTACGTGTGTGTGATTGCTAATCTCAGCCTCTCTGTTAGTGTTCAGTGCAGTCTGTGCTCATCCAGTCAACCATTCTGATATTATAGACACTTCACAGAGTTTTGCATCTGCGTGCAGCTGTTCCCCCAGACTGAGGTGTCAGGTCTGGCTCAAACTCACCGCTGAGATATGAATTCAGAGAGGGACCGACACACACACACACAAACACACAAGAGCCTTATGTAGAGGTTATTGAAAGGACAGGAATTACATTACCTAGTGGGGTGGATATTCCACACTTAATCACCCTATTCTGGTAAGAAAGGAACACATATACAAGCTTAAACCATGTGTTATTTAATAAAGAGTTATAGCATTTAACAGAATCAAACTATTTCCTGCTGGAAAAGACAGATAACCCGTTCCACTGATGTGGTAAGGAAATCTGACCAAGTTACACAGAAAAGCAATGACTTTATACAGGGAAGGGACACAGGAAGAGGATTCATTCAGCTAGGCAATCCACATTACAGTCCCAAGAAAGGTGGGGGGGAAGACAGAAGGGGGAGCACAGCATGTTAACAACCCTAACATCCATATGATAATTGCCTGACAATGGTCAAGGCGACACCCTTCTGTCTGAGAACACTTTGTAGCCAGGCAACCTACATACATATTGAATCACTATACATTCCAATCATACCTTGTTGCTTCACATCCTATATGATCATTCTAAGAACATATATATATATATATATGTTTATTCTAAGTGGAACAGTATGTGCTAGATTTCAAGAATACTGACAATAGTACTAAGTTGTGTTATATAATTAATGTATCATGGGATTCTTGATAGGCTGGGTATTGTCTTACACCCCAATTGTCAATATAGACACATTTAATTAATTAGTGTGTCATGTTACATACTGTCAATACTGTTTAATGTGCACTGTTTGTTTTTTATTTTATGTGTTGGTTATGAAACTGATTTCTGCTGAAAGTGAAAAAAACTGTCTTACTGGAATCTTCAGTGATTCATCGACATGTCTGAACACAACAGACTATGCTGTGTGTGTGTGTTTTTTCCTTTAACACCAGGCTTCCTTGTTTGTTTGTGCTCAAGGTCAGTGTTTATTAACAGGCTTGAATCAGCATTGGTGAATTAGTATCGGCATGCTATATTGACTTTTTTTAACCTAATGATGAACTGATATGTTCACAAACAACTTCAACTTCTCATTCAGCACTCCTACTCCTACTCTGTGCTGTAATTGTGTTTGTGAGCGTGGGCCCTGTGATTGTGTGTCAGCCTTTAAATTAGTTTGTTGCTTAACATGAATCAGATGGCAGTTTATAGTCTTTTCCATGTGAGGCCACAGCTGCTTCAAATACAATGAGCAGGTGTAGTCTGTGTCAGTTCAAATACATAATAGCATACATTTCGGTATGTTGCGGCACTTAAAAGAAAATCTACAATGCTTAACAAACAAGTTATGCAAAAGAAGACTGTTGTGTTTAAGCATTCTTTGCTCTCACTTATCTCATTTGGCTGCGCCTCTAGCAGGGTGTGTTTGTTTGATTGATACAGATATGATTTGATTATGTTGAGTATGAAAAGTGGATATGTATATGCTACTTCAGTGTGGATAGCAAGAGTGCGGACGCAGACATATTCAGCATGTCATTGGGTTGTTTTTCAAACTCAATCGTTAGGAAAAGGAGCTGACTTGACATGACTTGTATCATTATTAACGCATCAAGTCTTTCCAGATCACAGGAGAGGAACATGAGAGTGAATCAACAACCCTATTTACATAAAATGTACAATGTGTGACGAATAAGGTGTAGGCTTAGACAAACAGCTCGCCCAGTCTTTTAATAGTTAAATAGCCGACCTTTTGAGCTTGACTTTGGTACAAAGACAAAGGAAACACTTTTGCTTTTGTGTTGACAGTCCAAACACTGAAATAAAAACCAGGACAGAATGCAGCCTAACTAAAATCCTCATCATTCTAATGCTTGCTAATTGTAAGGCAGGTGTAGCTATTAATAAAGCATCAGTAATGTGTAGTTAAGGTCCAGTCTATCAGCTGTCTTATACTGTGGCGTTCAGGTTGTCCTGTCACTTCAGGAATTAGGAATGAACCGGAGAAAGCTGATGCTCCTCAGGCACAGGCGTGTCCTCTGTCTGAATTTGCCCATCTGTATGAGTGGGTGTGCAGTGGTGTGTGTGTGTGTCTCTGCATGGATGTACATGTATTTGTATGCGGAAAGTATTGTTGGAAGGTGATCGACATTCCAAACACAAATTGTTATGGTTAATGGGTTCCAGTGAGGTTAAAAGTAATGAAATGTTTTAAAATTCTGATTAATTTACTATGTTCCTTTGTTAGTGTTTTATCATTACTTCTTTAATATCAAAGTTTCCCAAAGAGAACAAACGTATTCCCTTATCCTGTTCAGATAAGGAACTGGGGAGAAAACCACCTTCATTTTTTATTGACTTTAAAAAAAAAATGTCTGCTCCCGCCCTTAGATATTTCTTTGTCTCTCTTTTTTATTCTATCCTTTTCTGTTTTAAGCTCATCCTGTGCAGTGATGAAAGTGCACTGCTCCATAGATCAGGGCAGACCTCACGCAGCAGGTGCCAGAGAGTGTGATGAATCAGCCATGTTACCGCAGGCTCTCAGTGGGAAAGTTCATCTTTGTTAAGACTGCTCAGCCTCTTCTTGTTAGCAGTCCCCTCCCAGACTCACCCAAACACACTGAGCTTATAAAGCTGTCACAACTCGCCGTGCACTTCCCTCATGCTGCGTATGTAAAAAGCAATGAGGACGGCCTGTTTGTTTTGACATCTCCGTGGTTACTTAGTAGATTTGCTTGTACTTGTATGTGAGCCTCCATATTTGCCGCCATTAGCATATGGGATTCACTTCAAAGTGTATTGTTTGCTCTGATTTTATTTAGAGCATGGGAACACATCCAATTAAAATAAAACTCGCACTTGGATGACATTTGCATTCTTCAGACTACAAACACAAGTTTTGTTCCTGTTTGTTGTTGTTGTTTTTTTTCACAAGATCTAATGTCTCATTATTCAGCCAAGCCCAAATAGCGAGTCCAGAAACAAAGCTTGTGGAGTGCCAACAAGATGGCTGTTGCCAAGGTGACGTGTGACTGAGCCCATCTGTTCGTGTCCATGTGCTCGAGAAGCCTGCCTGTTTTGGAAATGACGTGTGCATTGGCACGCTCACAGTGTCGAATGGATGTAAACCTGTGAGGCAGTAAAAAAACAGTTTGAAATCATGTCACATCCGACAACATTTGTCATGCAGTACAGCGAGTGCGTGCTGGAGACTTATCTGTGTCTATCTGCCTCGACACTTGCTGCTGCGATGAGGATTATTGATGTTCTTGAAATCTCAGTAGTTTGATATTACTCCTCTGTGCCAGCGTAGAAAATCCAAGAAATTGAGAAAAACAAGAAAGAAAAGTTTGTAGGACTGCTGCGCACATTATGTGCTGCTGTTGTTCATCTTTGTGTTTAAGAGAAGCTCTGCTCCAGCAACATTGCTTATGAATATTTTCACACCCTGTTTACTTGAAATGATAACTGTGGCTGCTGACTCCCTTTCTTTGGTGGAGTAAAGCACCAGTATACATTTACTCGGCTACTGTTCTAGTTCATTTTTGAGAAACTAGCAGTAGGACAATATTGTGAACTTCTTTATAACGTTCCAGAGGCATATATTCATATTTTTACTCCAAAACATTTCTCTGCTGTTACTGGCTAGTTTTTTTTAGATTTATTTGTTATTTACAATTATATTCACAACCGTTTTGGCCTGTGACCCCTTACTAAAACATTTTTTTGTGGGGGTCCCTTATAGACACAGTGAACAAATACCATAAGAAAAACCTATAAAAACAGTAAAAACATGACCCTATTTATCATCTATCCAAGTCATCTTGTGACCCTTTTGGGGGCCGGATACCCATGTTAGGAACCACTTGGCTATCAACTTAACTCTAAAAAAAGTAGTTTAACTACCCCCAGCTTGGCCACATACAACAGTTAAATCCTACATTGATGACAACAATCTAACTACATTACATATAATATTCCTTTTCCTCACATAGATCTATGCTGCTGATGACTTCCTGACTGGATTCAACGAGACATCCCGACTCCAAATGAGTATCGAGGAGTATAGTATACAGTCAGAAGTTGTCATGGCGATGGCGGGGGCCTCTGCTCCACCCCTTTCCCCCTCAGAGTATGGACTTTTGTCTCCGCCTCCTGACCTGTGCGTCTCATGTGGGCACAGCCACCAGCTGGAGGAGAACCACGAGTACCTCTACACAGACGAGGTGGACGACGACCTGGTCTGTCACATCTGCCTGCAGGCGCTCATCAGGCCTCTGGACACGCCCTGCGGACACACCTACTGCCAGGAGTGCCTCACCAGCTTCCTGCTGGAGAGCGACTTCTGCCCGGTGTGCCGCACGCCCCTCATGCTGCAGAGCTGCAGGAAACCCAGTCTGCTGGTGCACAAGCTGCTGGACAAGCTGACTGTGGCTTGCCCCTTCACTGACTTTTGCACTGACACCATGGCCCGTGGGGAAGTGGCAGACCACATCAAAAGCAGGTAGGAGGAAAGAAGCACGGTTTCATTTTTCCCAACATTAACATGGCAAAAGCAGTTTGTACCTAGGAGCATTTGCAGGCCTATTACTTTATTTTATCATTAGTAATATTGTATCTAGTAACATCTACAATGACCTGCAGTAAACACACACTCTAGGTTTCCCACTCTCCACTGCCTAACGTCATTAACCCACAGCTCCCGTCCCAAAGGGGAGAGTTGTTTCTCCATCCAGGCTTTCATCTAAACTAGGCCCAGCTTTTTCTTGTTTATATATCATTAAGAGACAGTTCTCTGTATTCTCTCAGTCTGGATCTGTTTTCATTAATACTCATTAACACTCGCCCAGCCCAAAGGGCCTCAGGGATAATTAGTGCATCACATCACACATCACACACAAGATGCAGAGTGTTTTCCTACTCATTTGCACTTTATAAAACTCTATAAACTCTTAAAATGTTGTGCTTTTTTCCCCTGCCCTTTCACTCTTTTTATTTCCCACCACCCACAAACACCCATTTTTTCTGCCACCCATCATTTACCCACATTGCTCCATTATTTCCCTGCCTTTTTCTCTTCATGTAGTGTGTGTCTTAATGAGACGTGGAGCTCTGAGGACGACTCCCAGAGGGATTCAGCTATTCTCCCATAGTTAGAAGGTGTTATCTGTGAAGGTGAGAGGCCACGGTCAGAGGGAGAACTCCACACATTGTGTTGTGGCCTGTTCTTTAAAACTGTATCATCTCAACAGTGCTCTGCTTTTTCACTCACCGGTAAACTGTCCAACCCAGAGCAATGCAGCTGCTGATTCCTTTGATTGCCATCATTTCGCTTTTTTATTCGCACATTGCAAACTAAAAAAACGAACAAGAATTGGGATCTAAATTGAGGTAAAGTACCGATTCCCCCTTTTACTGACATTTTCTCCACGTTTGGGCCATGGTCCAGTGATTTTGACTAAACCATGATTTGTTGATAAAGCTGGTTATTATGGTTGGCCTAGTACTTGTTGGATTTTAACAGGTGCAGATGAGTCGGGGATGTTGGATGGGTCAACCAAACATTGTTTTTTTACCATGAGTGAATAGATATCGCTTCCCATTTCCCACCAAAAGTCACAGTTGTTTATTTTTACAATGGCCACAAACAGACCCCTAAAAATAGCTCAAGTGCTCATTATTTAACCATGACCCCAACGGCGTAACCATTACAGAAAAGTCATTTTAACCCAAACCATGATCTTTCGCTAAGCCTAACCAAGCCGAAACTCAAACAAACCTTAACCACATAAAATAAAATGCAGTTGCATGCAATGTTATGGAGGTTTAAAATGGGTACCAAAGGAATGAAGTTAATATGAAAAGAAAAACACCTTCTGTATCTACACTTATATATGAATTTGAAGACCTGGGGTTAATATGAATCATATTTCTCTCTGTTTGTGGCCATGATGGTAGAGCACACTGTCTCTGGCCATACCCAGTAATCTGGCAGAGGGTCAGGAGCTGTAATGACTGAGACAGCCACGCCATCTGGTCAGAGATGATTTCATACCCATGTAATCGTTCATGACCTTATTGGCCTTTGGTTAGAGCAATTGTCAATGTAAACACAATTAGTACAATTAAGAACCAAATAAAAACCACTTGATCAACGGTATTTCTTCCCGGCTTTGTCCTGTAAGGGCTTGCACAAGCTTCAGCAAGAAAATTCCTCCCCAACCGCTCAGGTATTCATTTTTTAGCCAATTACACGTGGCTACATGTTTGTGCGCTGCTTAAAACAGGTTTTCTCTTCTCTTCTGTTAGTCAAATGAATTTACCCAGAGCGCCATGTGTGTGTTTTACTGATGATTGAGCATGATGGTGTTTCTGTCTCTTTTTATGTAAAATTGTGCTTGTTTTCAAGTTAGCTTTCAAAGCCCACAGAGGAGCTCTTCAAAGCTTGTGTGGCTATTTGGAAATGGAATGAGAGTTCCTGGCAGTTACTATCATTTTATTCTATAAGTATACCTCTGGAAGATCCTGTTTTATTTGACCTTTTTGCTGTGTGTGTGTGTGTGTGTGTGTGTGTGTGTGTGTGTGTTTATGAATGTTTGTTTGAGAAACAGACCGAGACTGGGAGTGAGAAAAGAGATAAGGCCACCTAAGCCAGATACGGTGACAGGTGTGTAAGCTAACCTGTTTTGCTACCCACGTTATTCCTAGCCCCATGATACCTTGGTGAAAATATGGGTGCGACTTCCAGTTATTCCTTTCATTGAACCAGCCTGTGGGATAGTTAACAGAGACATGAAGGTGTCTTCTTCTTTTTATAGGTTTGAGCTTTTCAGTAACTGAATGATGTGGGAACATATGTCACACCTTAAAACAGCTAATGTGGTTAAACCTGGGACTTCTGTACCACCAAGGAGTGGAAGGACCACCACATGAAGTGGCCCTGGAAAGCAGTAACAAACTAATGAAGTTAACCTGTTAAGGCCTGAGCCTGTTTTTCAGGTTTCAGGCTCGAAAATGACATGCCCAGAACAAATGACTATATCTCCACTTCTAAAAGGGGTAAATTAACAATCTTTTTTCTCAAAGCAATGAAACACCTGTGAGTTGGATGTAGAAAAGTCAGAATCAATATAGATGTTTTTATTTTAAAGTAAATTCAGATTGAACATAGTAAAAAAATGTAAATTATAGTTTCCGTCCAAAAAAGCCCATTACTTATAGTGAAAACCACCCTTGAATGATGAGATCGAAGACTAAAAGCTTTAGGAATCCAAACTATAACATATAATAAGTACCCTGTATCAAGATTGATGCAAAACAAGTGAAATTTGACCTTTTTAGAGAGGTTTAGAAAAAGAAACGACCTCTGGGGTCATTTGGGTGTATTTGCCATATCTCTCATCGGTCGATTTTGATGATTGACACCACTTTTGAACCGTTGGAGCCAATAAAATCGAGAGGGAGTTCCTAAATCCATCTAAATATTACCATTGGTGAATGAGAGGATGCACAGCCAGCATGCCCAAAACCGGAAGCTCTCATACACTCTCGTAGCTCTCATAGCAGCTATATATGAAAACTACTCTTATTGACATAATTGTTATGATGGATTATCCGTAGTCATTTCAAAGTTTCACAGAGACATTGGATTAACCTTCAGCAGCATTTATATGCGTTTTAATGCCATTGAACACAACTTTTGATCACACAGTGATGAGACTTATACCATTGGAATATGTGGAATCTCAGCTTTCATGTGATATCTTGTTTGTGCAGATCCGATGAAGTATACAATATTTCTACCGTGAGTTATGTGCTAAGTGCGTTAGCACTCTTTCGCTTAGTGCTAATTCAGACGCTTGGCGTTAGAGTTGTGTTTTGTTTCGGTAAAAATGGTTCATATCGTCAGGTAGCTGAGTTTCTTCCGGTTAAGTGGGTATGACACATTCATAGTTTGTTAAATGCTAAGAAGCCCTCAGACGCTGTTTCTTGCAAGCAGTGGCGGCACCAGAGTATTTTTGTTGGGTAATCTATGGTAGGGCTAACCCATACGGTGGTGGGGCTCAAGTCAGTATTTGCAATGTAATTACATACACGCTATATCGCCCCCCCTCGACAGTGAAACGCCACGCGTGAGGTTTCGATTATTTCCCTGTCTCAATCAAAATTGAACTGTATGAAATAAAACGGCACATTTGTCTTGTAGTAAATAAAAAGGGATCACTGTGAACGTGACGTATCATAGTACACGTTGAAGATCCAATGGGGATACTGAATGGCGGTTCCGATTGATCTCAATCAGTAATGCATGACGCAGACCCAACATTTCGTTGCTCTGATCTGTAGCCTACCCCAGCCATACCCTGGCGCCGCCACTGCTTGCAAGATGTTGTCGGAGCCTCGGGCTTAACAGGTTAAAGGGACAAGTTGCGCTAATGTGTGGCCTAAAGACTGTATTGAACACAACAGGAAAGTTAATTGTTAATGATCTTACTGCTGGTTTGTAATTAAAACAAAGTCTTCTCAGTGACAAGCCCATAAATATACTGTCTCTTGAAAATATCTATTTTGACTATAGATTAGTATTGGCTGGTGTGAGTTTATTATGAAAAGGAATTATTGAGAGAGAGTTTGTGTGTTTGTTATGTTGGTGTAAGTCAATGTGCAAGTGTATGGAAATGGCTCCTTTGGGGGCAGACTGGATTCTGTTCACAAACTGCATCCTGTCACAATCCAATTACATTTCCATTTCCTGCATGCCCTGCGGTCTTCTTGCTGTGCGCACTGTTCAAATACCGCAGGATAACTTATGCCTCACGCATGCATACATTACAACACGCAAACAGACACGCACCGAAACACACACAAACAAATCCAGCCTGTAACCACACTACCTCCATCCATGAAATATTCATTCAGACAGGGTATTTACACCAGTTAAGTGTCTTTCTCGAGGGTAGAAGACAGCTGAGTGCTATACAAATCGGATAACAGTGGGAAAAAGGTACCAACAGGGAAACCAAGATAAAGTAAAGGAGCAGAGGAAGGGAACGGAAAAAAAGTGAAGATGAAAATCAGGATAAGTAGGATGCGGAGTAAAATGTGAGTTTTTAAATAATCTTGCCATGATTTAAAGTGGCTTGATAAACATCAGTGGAATCGGATTGATTGTGGGGCTTGACAGGATGAGATGAAAATAGATACGCTGCAGTATTGCACATTCAAAGTTCTCTTGAATCCCTCCCTCCTTTGTTTACTACAGAAAACATCAGAGATTACAGTGACGAAAGTGAAGATATGAAGAAACCAGGAAGAGTTGCTTGAGGAGAGAAATACACCTCTCAAAATCCTTTGAATGTACCTTGATTTTGTTTTCAGCACCTTTGAGTGAATGCCGTTCACAGCCATCAACATGTACCACAGTCCATCAAAACACACCTCTGCCCGTCACTTCCCAGCTCTAAGCGCGTCCCAAGATCCCTGCAGTTCACAATCAGGTTGTGA